AATGAAGTTGAAATTTATAAAGACTATTTCAAGACTCTTAAATCATGTAACATTTGTTATCAGTTTTGGAAAGCCCACTCTTTGAAGGTAATACCTTAGTTTGTGCATCTGACAAACTTTGATGTTCCATGAATCACTGATATGTACCATACATTGTGTGAAGTAAGTGAGAATACAAGAAAGCCTCTACTGAGACCTCGTTACACCTGTTGTACAAATAGGCTATCTTGTGTGTTCTTCTTAAAATACATAAATAAATCTTGCAGGGAAAAGACACTGAGTTTCATACACAGGATCTAATGGAGACTTCATAATCAAATGTATTTACTAAGCAATAGTTTTCGAATGCAGCCTGCTTTGTCTTATTTTTAGATTAAGGCTCTTAGAGTTGGCCAGGGAACTCAAACTGTGCAAAAAAAACACCATTAGTAAAATTAGTAAAATTATGTTGGTTGGTGTGTAGCAGGCACCCACCACAACGTGCCCCACATAGGCCACCCCTCTGATCCTGACCCATAAGCTCTGAAGAGACCTGTCACCTGTCCCACAGTCCAGCGCTAAGCTAAACCTCTCCTCCTCACCTTCCCAGACTGTCCTTCCTAAAGAGCCTGTATCCATCCAATGCACCACTCCAGTCATGCAAGCTATTCCACATTTCTTTTTATTCCGAATGATGTCCTAGATCTGCAACAGTCCACAGACTTCCAGCTCCAGTGCCAAAACTCTGTAGCTAAGAAGTTTTTTCAGAAGGGGCTATCATGTGGGACAAGTCAGCACATATCCTACAACGTAGAAGATATATTGGCATACAGATTTTAAATACACAGTTTTCTCAATACACCCACATAGTGCCCAAATGTCCCAGTTCAATTATTACCCAATTCAGGAAAGCAATCTGTGTCCTTCCTGTCCCTCCTCAAGACCCCCACTGTTAAAGGCACTTTTTTAAATTAAAAAAAAAGTGAACAGCTCTACTCCTACACACAGCATCAAGGATGTTTCACGAAAAATGTTGGAAGCTCAAAATGGTCTAACTAGAAAAAGACCCTTATCATAATTTTTGTAATGTGTCCTTGCACTAGAGGGGGAATATCACTTGTTATGTCAGGGAAAGCTACCATTCTTTTAGAAATAACAGAATTTGTAAAACCTGAGTACACTAGCAGAGGTGTGACAACCAGTTTCTTTATTACAAACAAACAAAATTTTTACTTGATTGTCACAATTAAAACATAAAAACTAAAACGTAAACGTTTGGAATATCACCAGGGTAATTTTCCTTAAGAATTTTTTCATTATTGTTTTTACTGAACAGCACAGTTTTTCAAGTTGGATTTAAAGCATTCTTTCATTACATTCTCCAGCTTCTTGTCCCATGTAGGTTTTGTCAAAGATCTCCAAGTCGACTCTCAGTCTGCAGTTGTCTGCAAAAATTGTGATAAAATGTTCAGAAGCAGATGGATGACACGCTCAAGCAGCAGATCAAGCAGACAGCAGATACTGCAACTAAATCAGCGACATAAAACACAATATAGCAAATACTGATAAATACATCAGAGATTAAAATAAGTTAAAGTTTTTAAAATCCATTGAAGTAATCTGCAGTTCTACCAACCAGTGAAGAAGGTGCAATGAAGGCTGCCAGTGAAGCTACAAAACAACTCTCTCTTTTTGGGACCTCACCAAACCCTGAACATTTGAGACTGCTGGTTATACAGTGCAATTCTTCAGAAGCACGAGGTGTAAAGACACACACAAGTAAGACCTGTACAAAGATGTATATTGATATTTTTCATATTATTAAGTAAATTATGAGCTAGAAAAAGCAGCAAATGTTTACCTCTTTTCTTTCCCTGTCAAAAACATATTTTAGTATAAGAACAGATCCCACAGAGTCACACGCAATCCATCTGTGTTTTGTTTCTGGAGAACAGGCTACTAGCTTTGTTTGCCATCTCTCTGCTTGGCTACTCCTATAGCTATTCTAGCCCTCACGTTAGTATTCTCTCTCGCCTCACTGTTCTTAGCCCAGATATTTTTGTGCATTTCATTCAGGTATCCCCAGTTAGCATCAACTTTCCCTGTTCTGCTTCTGGCTTTTTGTGCTCCAACGTTCTGCATACAGCTAAGAGAAAAAATGGTTCTTCATTAGATATGCCATCTTCTGTCCTTTGATCTTTCCCAACTCAATGGAGCCTTATTAGGATTTAACAACGAACTATTGCCTATTTATACTGCTGAGGTTTTGTTCATATTTTGAGTTTTATAGGATACATATGTATATAAGGAAGAATTATTAGTTTAAAATCTCCATGTCCTTAGTTTCCTCAAAAGAGTATTCAAATACCTTCCAGAATGCAATTACTAAAGTGCATCTTCATGACTTATGTAATAATTTCAAAAAAAGATACCTTGCTCAGATGTTTTCAGAAGACAACATTATTCTTCAAAAGGAAAAAAAAAGCTTTAAAAAAAAATAAAACACCATTACATTTTGGCCTGTTCAGGACGCTGGTTGAGAGAGTCCCTTGGGAGACCATCCTGAAAGGCAAAGGGGTCCAGGAAGGCTGGACGATCTTCAAGAAGGAAGTCTTAAAGGCGCAGGAGCAGGCTGTCCCTGTACGCCGCAAGAAGAACGGGCGGAGAAGACGACCGGCCTGGCTGAACGGGGAGCTTTTGCTGGGACTCAGGAAAAAAAGGAGAGTTTATCGCTTGTGGAAGAAGGGGCAGGCGACTCAAGAAGAGTACAGGGATCTCGTTAGGTCGTGCAGAGAGGAAATGAGAAAGGCAAAAGCCCAGCTAGAACGCAACCTGGCCGCTGTCGTTAAAGACAACAAAAAAAGTTTTTACAAATACAGCTCCCTAGAATATTTTTTTATCTTACTATTTAAGCTTATGCACTCCAATTCTGCTAATTTGTGAAGAGGATAAAGCTTTTGAATTGACACCTTGATGTATTTGTTTAATTTGGAACATAGAGATTACATCAGTTTATTTTGAATTTTACCAAACATTTTTTTGTGTGTGAACAATTCTTTTTATGATATACCTGTTTATAATATATGGAGGCAATTCCTAACGATTTTAGTTGTATTCAAAAGTACGTATATCATATGCTTCTAGTGATTAATCATAACTCATCTACTGCTTTTATTAGTCTCTCAAAACAAAGGAATTGGTGGGTTAGTGCTCTTACTGGAGCCAAGGAAAGCACAGAAAATGCCTTCTACATTTCAGATGCTATTTTTAAGTCTGCTCAGCTACTTACACAATTAAGTAATCAACATGGGCTGCTTGTCATTCATAAATACATCCCAGGAGATCAGCTGGGAGACAGAGGAGGGCAGGTTGTGTCTCGAAGACTAAAAATAAGAAGTTGTACTTCCAACAATTCCATGGTCTATGAAAGACGGTGGCCCAAAGTGTTGTCTTGTCTACCCAAATGATGCAGATGGGACATTCTGACATCCACAGCCTTCGGGGTATCTCTGGGGCATTCAGCATTCACTCCTTTGGCATGAAGGCTGTTGCACCGCTGAAGGTGCCACTTATCCAGCACACCTACGCAGTATGTCTGATCAAGACCTCCTAGAACATACACCACGACTTGTCTGCACTGCGACCGTATCGTCTACAAAAGAGATGCTGCTTATCTCTGCTTACTCAACTGTCCCATCAGTAAATACATAAGCTGCAAGGCGACCAGCGCTGGTGAAAGAGAAAAGTTGGAGAACCGGGCAAAATCCATAGCCCAGTACCAACTGCAAGAGGCAGTGCCCCTACCCCATCTGCCGCCAGCGCATTTAGCTACGGTAACTCTCACTTTCGTAATTCATAACAACATTACACTCGAGCATAACACTGCAGAGACGGGGCCACCATCCCACAGCATCAGATCCGCCCAGTCACACCGCCGCCAACACCTCTTACTCCTCGAGACAGAGCAGGAGCAGGGGAGATGTGCTCTGCAGAGACCTGAAATTCCAGCCTTGTTTTTTTCCTGGGGCCTGTCACAGGTCCTGTTGAAGTGCCTGTTAAAAAGAGGAGACGGGAAGGACCGAGCATGGACAAGAAGCAAAAAGTGCCTCCAGCGACAATTTTGCCTCGAGGCAAGTTAGTTGTGAAACCAATTCAGCTTTGGTGTAGTATTTTAATATATGTAAACACAACAGGTTATGAGAATTGTACAAATGCGACAGGGATGAACGCTAAACGCCGTGTGTGGCTCCGAGACGAGGCGGGCCTGTCCAGCGCCCCGGCCTACTGCCGCCACCGCTTGTTACCGTGGCAACAGCCCAGCACCACCTGACTCGGCCCCCAGGGGCACTGTAGCCAGGGGCACATGCCCCATACCACTCCAGGCGTTCCCCGGGGCTTCACGGCCTACCTCTGCACCCATGGCTTTCAACAACAAGTTCTTCCCTTTGAGAATATCATACACAATTTATTGCAGACCACTGGACAGTTTCCCTCCCATTCACGTAAGCGTTCCTACTGCAAACTGATCTCAATTAATCTTGCAAAAAAATTACCTAACAGCCCTTAAAAGGAACAGTGGCTGAAGAAACGGCTGTCAACAAATTGCGGATAAAAGCAAGAAAAGCTATTTAAATACACATAAGCTCAAAATAAGTAGTGCTGTTTTGCGGTGAAAATGTCATCTGACAAAGACGTTAAAAGCTAAATTCTGAAAAAAAAAAAAAATCTCAGTTTCACTTGGTCATTTTTATGTATGGAGAAGTTCAATAGTATTTTCAAATACAGCTTTTCAGAAGAGTTCAAGTTTAACTGCTAAAACACTGAGGATAAGTTTCATCTAGAAACAACTTCATTTCATAAAGAGTGAAGCTTTGTCTGCTAGAATGAGAATAGTCAGTTGTTAGAGAATTCATACTACAGTAGGACCCTAAAGCCGTAAAAATTAAATGAGTATATGTATTAATACTAGGAATTAAGTAGTGAACAATCTAAGTACAAAATAAAATGTGACCACAACAAGATTTGCCACAAATAAACCGATTTATTACTTTTTGGCAAGTCCCATACAGCATGAGCAAGGATCTTTCACTCACTATATTAAAACATTATTTCACTTTATACAAATTGTAAACATCTTCAACAGGACAAACTGTTGGTACAGGCGTTCCACGATTCTGGCATCTTTTCTCTGTCAGTTAATCAACCAAGAATGAAAACCCAATAAACCAAAGAACTTTTTTCACAGGATATCTATAAAATGCAGCATATGCATTTCATAGCACATCAATTCTAAGCAACACAGAGAAGAGTATTTCTGATTATTATTTTTAGTGAAATTCATAGTGGTATTATGATTAGAGACACTTTTTCCATACTGTTGTATCCAATGTTTTGTTTGAAATTACAAACATCATTTCCTACAATCAAGGTAGTAAACCAAATTCTACAGTAAGCCAGCTGCTATAAATACAGCTATATTTGCTACGCTGTATCAGATAAATAAGGGTGTAAAAACTCCTGGCCTGGTTAATACATTGTTTTCCTGGCAGGCACCAGTCTAAAGAAGTCATGATTCAAGTTCTGCTTGTCCAAAGCCCCCTGCTATAATTGTCTGATTTTTCCCCCTCCCTCTCTCAAAGTGCTTTGAATCAGACATAATCTGATCCATAAAGTGAACATTTATCTCCCTCTTCTTAAGTAAGAGCAGATTTTTCTTTCTAATTTGTAAGTCCCAGGAACGTCAATCTGCTGGCTAGCTTTACTGAAGGACTACAAGATGCACATTGTTAGCTCGTAATTCTCAAATCAGAGCAAAGGTGTTTAAACTTGACATGAACCGCTTTTCTCCAAACCAACTCATCAGCACTAAAATACTGACAATTATAATGTTAACTAAGGCTTTGTTAAGAATAAAAAAAAAACCACTATCACTTCTATTGTTAAAAAACAATTGCATTACAACTTTGGTTTCAGTACACTGCTAATTTTGGACTCACATTTACAGTGACTTGAAGACAAAAATCTACATTTCTAATGTGAAAAGTCAAGCCATATTAAAAAAAAAAAAACACTTTTCAAGTCTCTGTGCGTCATAAGGAGCAATGAAAATAAACTTAATTCTTCTGCAGATCACCTTTAAAGGTACTGACAAAACCCAAGGTGGTTATTTTTACACCTGTATGCAACCAGCTGTTTTAAGCATTCTGAAACATCTCACTTTAGATCATGAAGTGCTTAGATCAGCAGATCCATAAATGATGAGTTCAGATGAGTTTCACTACCTGAAGTGAGGACATTGAGGAGCTTTTTGTTTGTAAGATTTCTGTATGATCGAAATGCACAGATGAAAGACTATGAAGGATGAACAGCACAGTTAACTTGCAACAACATCATGATGTATAGTCATAAACAACAATGCTCTTCCTACAGATTCAGTACTACGAGCAGCATCAAGTGTTCAGTTCCTATTGTCAACTGCAAAAAAAGTGAAGTCCTCAAACCTTGGTAAAAGTCTTAGATTACTAAGTCTTTTTATTTTAAAGATTGTTCAATTCCTTCAGTCAAGCAAGATATTCTACTACTAGATGTGCCTCCAGCTCTTCTCTCTGCCCAAATAAAGAAGAGGATCTCTACTACAGTGTTAAAGCTAGATCCCGATAGAACTAAAGAAACACTGTAGAGGATATTCCATGAATCAAAATAAAATCAATTATTTTAAATGCCTTAACTCTTCCATGATCATCAAAATCTGCCAGAAATAATGTAACAGGAACCTTCACGTAACCTTCATTCTTCAGCAGAAATGCAGATTAACCAAAACATTTACTACTTGGTATTTTCACGGCAGCATGGGATGAAGGTCTATTAAAAAAAAATAATTTCTCATCTACACAGCCACCATTTTAGAGAAGGTCTTCTAAACATGATTAATACCAACAAGTTCAAAATACTGTTGTGTGGTTTTGGTTTGGTTTTGTTTTAAATCGAGAGCTACTTCTGATTTATAGTCAAACCTTGTAGGTCTTTTTATCATTTTTAATCCATTCCATGTAGTTTTACTTTCCAGTCTGTCTGGGAATTGTCTGGAGCCCAACACATCAAGATGCAACTGTTATCCATGTGGATTTATGACTTCTGTATGCTAGCTGCCATTTTCTGTAGCAGCATCTGTTAGAAGTTTTACAGAATTATAATGTTCTCCTAATCCATAGGCATGTCTCATATACCTAAAAAAAACCCACATTACAGAATTAGTGTTCAGTTTAACTAAAAGTATACATCATGCCAAACATTACAGCACTGAAAGATAGCTTAAATAAATTCAAGTTTTAGCACAGAAAATATATAAGGTCATTAAATAGGAGATTATCAATAAAGACAGTTTTTAACTCTGGTGACTTCCAGGTACAGATTGACATAAGCTTTGACAAAAAAAAAAGTTTCCTACTGAATCTTCTATCAATTTCACTATTATTTTGTAATTATCTAACAGGTGAAATGACCTTGTAGCATTCTATAAAGCAGTGACTGAATCACACTTCAGACTGATTGTCAGCATTTTAAGAACTCTTAATTACAATATCTTTAAACTAAATGTGTCAATCACAAACATAATTTCTGACCTGCAAGATCATTATTGAAGCAGCATTTCAACATCACATATGTAAGAGAAAATAAAAGAGCAGGTGAGAATCAAAGCTGAGCCCTCTGCTCTACAAATAAGTGCACTAATTTTAAGAAGAGATAAAATTACATACTTACACAAGTATTATTGGTTTGCCTGAATATTCTTCACCAACAATAATGGGAGGGGAATTCATTTGCACTACTTCAATAGGTGTTTGCAAAATGTGCGACAAAGCCCTTAGCTTTAAGGCATAAAAACAATTCAATAATAGGATTAAATCAAATGTAGGAAGGACAGAGGAAGACACAGCATTTAGTTTTAGCAGACATGAGTTCGGGCATAACATTTCAAATATTGTTAGAAAATAAACTTTAAAATAAGCAAAATTATTTTAACTTTTTAAACTTTAATTCAAAACAGGTTGCCTTAAATTAATCATTGTTTTGATGATACAACACAGGTAACATTGGGCTAGCTTCAGTAATTTGGTAACTACTCTTTCATAAAACAATAAATAAGACACGAACTAAAATAAATACATATTTTTTCAAGCTCGAGTTCTGGTTTACATTACAAAAATCTAACATCACTCTGCTCTAGTCAGCTTTGCTACTATCTAAGTCTGCACAATAAAATGCTTTCTCCTTAGAAAGTCTTCCCCCACTCATACTGTTAGTCTTTCTAATGATTCAGAACTACTGAATTTGTTAACTTGCATGTTGTCAGATACACCAGAACAGCAGTGCACCATCAGAAAAGCTACTAATTTGGGAAAACAATTTATAACCATAGGAGAAAGTTCTTGATAAACTATTTATGACTATGTTCCTTTATGCCTTCAGGTATTATTACTTAAGAATGTACATTCACCCACTTCAGAATTTCACAAATAAAAATTATCAATACAATACTTACTTCTAGCTGACCACCCCATGCAGCTGTATTCTCTATATCATCACAGTATTTTTCAAATTCCTCTGTGAGGAAAGAAAAGACAACTTTTGGTACTTCTCTTATTTGAGAACAAGCAACTGAGGAAAAATACTGATTGTACAATGAAAAACTAGAACCTGAAAAGTCCAAACACATTATACAGGAAAATATGTATGTTCACTGAAGAGAAGGAAAGGAAAAGACAACCACCAGAGGCTAAATAAAACCCCATAACTGTTTTAGAAAGAAAAATTAAGACTGAAGACCGGAATAAAAACAAGTATGGGAATAAAAAGGAGTACAGGTTTATATTTTAAAATTTTTATTCAGAAAACTGTTAACAACAAGCATGAAACGGCATACAGTTTTCTTCCTGTTAAGTTTCAGAGGGTGGTGTTTTGAGACTCTAGAAAAGAATATGATAGCAAGTAGTATACTTATTTCTTATGTTGGCTAGGTGTCAGGTATGTTTTTACAACCTTGTAACTGTATGTATTTCAACTGTTGTTTGGTTTGGGTTTTTTTAATTTCCAAATTAGCTGCCTTGGTTTTAACCTCTGAAGTATTTATTCCCAATAGTTCCTTTCTTAATAGCTAAATAAACCTTTTGCAGATCATGTTCTACAGAAACCAAGCTTTCAAATTTATAAATTACAACAATTCAGGCTTCTGAACCCTATGAATAGATTCTGATAAAGAAAGAGCAGATTTTCTGAAGACTGCTCAGAATTGTTTTTCATACATTCCCCTTATAACAGACTTTGAGACATAAGAAAACCACAGCTCCCTGCTGCTCTGCAGAACTTTATTCAGTCTTCTCTTGGGGCACATTTATCCTGTGACAATTATCTCTGTCAACATGGGAAAGACGCCTCCTTCTTCACAACAGCCCCCAGTCACCAAATGAAATCCACAGCAATAACTATTAAATGAATGTAGCAGTAAGTTGAAAATATGCATAAAGTCATTTGCATGGTGTTCCAGACATGAAGTAAGAAATGAATAAACCACATATTGCTCAAATAAGAAGTACGTAAATTCCATCTAACTGCATTTCCTCAGCCTACACCATTGCCCCACACTAAATGCCTTTATATTTTTTAGTTAGTTTGTTTATAAGAAAGGGCTCCAAAAGACCTAACATAAACAGTGAAAATAAAGGGTAGAATAAGAAAAAACATCTATGTAAACTCTTATAAAAGAGATTTGCTTGGATTTCACACTCATTTTTAACACCTTTCCTACATAAATTGAAAACACTGATATAAAAGTTGACAAAAAGTCATCCCTAACCTGGTAGACAAGCTGTTTGTAATGCAACTTAAATCACATCCCAGAACATGATTACCAGCTAGTAACCAGCAAGTTCTGATTTTTTTTTTTTAAATGGGGAATAATGTTTGCTAGATTAATTAAAAAAAAAAAAAAATTACGAAGATTCAAGTGTACCAAGTTTCATAGCGGACCATAATCCTGTGTTCCACAGAACACAGCCGAACCAACAAAGTAACAAAGTTCAGGAACAAACACCGTAATGAATTAGTCCCAACCAGCTGTAACCGAGATTGAGAATTATCAGAAATAGTTACAACAGTTTTTAAAATCTCTTATGCCCCAAGTCTTACCTCTGCTATACATGTTTCCAGTACTAGGGTTTGTAAGAAATGGCAGGAAGTCATCAAAGTGACTTTGCATATACTTTGCTGTTTGGTTCCTCAGAGTTGCAACAGTCCAGGAATTTTGGCGGTCCTTGAGCTGATCTTCAATAGCTCTGTACATGCAATGGCCATCTGAAGGGATCTGTTTAATCTCTAAGTGCCTTGCTGCCAATAGGGAGGCAAGTTTCTGACTTTCAAGATGTCTAGCACCCGTTAAATTTTCTATCTCAGCTTCAGCTATCCTTTCTTCTCGTTCTTTCTCCAAGGCAGCTTTTTTTTCCTTAGATTAAAAACACATAAAAATTACATCAAATGTTAAAATTTAGAAGATACCTGTACAGTTCTTGGCTTAGTGCTTGCTTCTAACTACACATGTTTTCTAAGTACATTCATATCTGTGAAATGTGACCAATATATCCTAACTGCCTCTGACACCACACCCGAAACTACCTGACAGGAGAAATCTTAATTATATCAACATGCAAAATAACACTTTACAACACCCGTACAAAGCCTAGTAATAGTAGTCATTTCTTCCAGATCACCTATTTCACCACATTGGCAAACAACTCAAGTATGAGAATTCTAATTGAACAACAGAAAATATTGCTCTTTCATAGTAAGTGTGAGCTCTACCACTTACGCACATGATTGCATAACGGAGCTCATGTCATGAAACTGAAAGTCCCTCAGGCTAGGTACTATACATCATAAAAGACTGCTCCTAACCTGAAGGACGGATAAGAATGCATACAGAGAATACTACAGGGGATGTAATAATACAAAACATACAAAGCATTCTGTAAAACTAATTTTTAAGTTTACGCTTGAGTTAACAAGGGAATAAGAGTCAAAGTAAACAAGCAAATAAAAAAGGAAGCAGTACAGAGAATGGTCTTTTCCCTGTCCCACTTAAAATTCACCACAAATCAAGACCAGACCGGTTTAGGCAACCACCATATAGGAAAACTAGCCTACAGAGTTTCTAGTTTGCCTAGACATGGTGCAATGAATTAAGAACATCCTTTTACCATGTTTGTTACAAGGCAGCTCTGCAGTAGTGATCATGTAACAGGGGATGGACTCTGCAATAAAGCAGTGCTCCTCCAGCCCTGAACCAACATTCATGCAGGTACAATGAGAATGTTAATCCATCGCAATTTAACATCTGAAGCTTAACAAGATTTAACCCCAACGGCCTGGACACCAGGTAGTGTTTCTTAACAACTCAAAAATTTACAGAAATTTCAGTATTAATGTTCTTTTGTTAAATGTGTAAGTTCTACTACTTGCATATTTTCCACGTAGTATTTTACATTATTTTAATTCAATTACTTTATTTCTTTATTAATGTTTTTAGTGAAATTCTTTTAAAATCATTTGCTTTACATAATTTTGTTTTTTCTGGCTCCCATCTCCTGACTTATTCTGATTCCCAGCTCATGGCTGAGGAATCAAAATCTTAATCAAAAAAGTAGAACTATTTATAAAATGCTTACATATCTCTAGGTAGCAGCTTTACAGATTTTCAAGGCACCCAGTAGGTACAGCATCAGTACTGAATTAGCCAGGTAATGTCCCCTGCAAAATTGTTTAACTTTGGTTATTACAGTTAAGTTTAAGAGAATATAACTTCAATCAAATATTTGTAAAATTTTTAAATGTTAAGTCATACCCGCCTCTTCTGCGCTTTTGATATTCGAGGATGCTGACTCTGTTGCTCTACTCCTTCAAGCTCTAAATTTGCAACCCCATCAGCTATAGAATCTGTCTAAAAAGAAAAAAAAAAAAGCTAAATGTTCTTATTAGTATAAATGATAATTGAGATGTGCATTTCCTGAAACAGTTTTAAGTTCTGTTCCTAGGTAATTTCCAGGTTATATTTATGAAGTTTAACCACAAAGATCTGGGTATAGCACAGAACCTGTCAAAGGCAAAAGTAAACCATTGCACATTCCAAACCACTGTCATGCATTATTACTTCTTCTGTAGTCTCAACAAAAAGACTGTTATGAACTGCGCATCTCAAATTTAATCTATATGTTCTCTTGCAAGCTTCCACACTGAAGTGTGAACACTGCTTACTGGCTGAAAGGGAAAGTTTTCCTCACCATACCAGCCGACTGAAGCACCCAAACGGCCATTATCAAGTTCTGTGACAATTAAAGCAGGAGAATGCTCCACCTTCCATACCAAAGCATAAAGGAAAAGCAGTTGGAAGAGGCAGGGAGTTGACACTTCTCAAGAAAAATGGCAAAGCTAACCCCATAATGGTATGAACTAGATGTCACCCTTGGAAGCATGGACATGTTTCAATCCGAATAAAAAAGCTGAGAAGTGAAAGAAACCATACATCTCAAAACAAAATCCTCTCAGGCAAAGCTATGTCCAGGGCAAGGATTTTAGCTTGAAAGGTCCTCCATCGTAAAGTTTTGACAGCTCATTTAGCAAAATAAAACAAACTCTTGAAACTAATCTAAGATACAGATAAATAGAAGCATTATGTTTAATGTTTATGCATTAATCATCTGCTTAAGCATCTGACTAAAAACTACTACAGAAGATTGTGATAGGGTCATAACTCTCACAACTGAAAACTTTTTTTTGCACAACGATTCTCAGCAGATGCTTCTTAATCACGTCTATTTCCCTAAAAGTCATTCAGGAATGTTTTCACTCTAATTTTCAAACAAAAGTACGTTCTGCTTAACTCTTTGTTAGGTCACTAATCAGAAAACACCTAGTCCAGAAAGCACCGGCAGACAGGTTTTTGTTTGTTTCTTTAGAAGATTTAAACAGCCAAAAGACACACACTGTTATGGAAACACTTAAGGAGATGTATGAGCACGGAGCATTAGCATCATTCACAGATCACTATTGCACCAATTTAGCCATAAGCTCTATTTCCATTTAGGTAGGAGAAAGTATATGAACAGGCGTACTTCTACAAATGGTCCTTAAATTCAGGCATGTGATACAAATAGAGTTCTTTTCAGTACTGGATATACAGAATTAAGTCTATGGATTTCACTACAACAGAAGTTTCCAACGCTCTACTCATTAAGTGCTAAAGCATAGGTGAATTTTTCTATGTCACACAAGTATTTAATAGTACCAGTTTAACCAAGGTGGTCATATTTCCTGCAGCTGAATTTGAATAATGCTAAGCCTCGGTTAAAAATTAAGTTGTTTGCCATCAAACAGCAAACTGGAAGCATTTAAGTATGTAGCTATGTTGCCAACATGGCAGAACAGTAGCATTTAAGAAAACAATCCTCATCATCACAGAAAGTGTCTTCTTACAAAAAGGTCAGTTACATTGTTGACAGAATTGCAAGACAAAAAACACTGCATCAGTCAAATGCCTATTGAAGGCCAACAATACTCTAGTAGTCTACATAAGATAATTAGAGTGACAATGTAACAGGAACTTAAAAAAAATTTCTTTAAGACAACTGAGCTACTAACGTAGCCCTAAGAGCAAAACCAAATGCTGCTCAACAACAATAAAACCCCACAGTTAAATGCCCCTTCTAGCAATGTCCACCCATCGTAACAGCTGAATCTTTCCAAAGATGAAAGAGTACCAATACTGCGAGGAAAAGGAGAAATACTTCAAAGTGTTACTTCATTATAATTTTTAAAAGTTAAAGAAGCCCTAACGCAAATTGTATCTGTACAACCGCAGCTAAAGTTAAGGCACCTACCTTATTCTGCTCAGGTGAAACTTCCTTCAGCTGCTTTAATTCCTCCTTGTGCTTCTGTTCAAGTTCTGCCTCTAGTTTGGCAACTTCATCAGCCAGCTGTTTTCGTCTCTTTTTATCATTCTTGGGAACAGCATTTTTCATGCCTTGAATTTTTGCTGTTAAGAGAAGTGTAATAAAACATTACCTCTAAATACAGATACTCCACAGTCATTGTAGAAAAGAGAACTGCAAGTCATACAGAAAAAAAATTTACAAGTATCAACGTATTGGTATGTTCTAACAGCTTAGCTATGAGACTGCCCATTATGACCATCACATTTTAAAGCAGCTACATTTTTCTTAAAAGATGCAAACGTTACATCTAAAGAAGAGAAAAACTTGTGCCAGGTTACTATTATAAATACTTATGAACTTCATCAACACAGCAGACCTCAGCCTGCCGCCTTCAAAAAGATTATTTGGGCATTGAGATCTCAAATGCTGTCACAGGAAGGATGTGTAAAGTTTTAATCACACAAGTAGCAGATTAAAAGTAAAAACAGAGTTTACCTGTCCTTAAAATAAAGTTTCTAAAAGCAAAATAGGTATTCAAGAAGAAAAAAAAACAACTCACATTTGCTTAAGTTCCGTAAGTATTTTTAGGCTGTAAGTCAAGGCTCCATTTCTCAAATCACAGAATAGTTTGGTTAGAAAGGATGTCCGGAGGTCATCTAGTTCAACCTCCTGCTCAAAGCAGGGCTGAATTCAAAGCTACATCAGGTTACGTTAATTCAGATTGATCTGGAATTTATTCAGATGACTGTGCAAAGTCTCCAGGGATGAACATTCCACAACCTTTCTGGACAGTTTTTTCCAATGTTTAACCATTCTTGTTATGAAAATATTTTCCCTTTTTCCTCCCATGAGGAATGTTCTTGTTACCGCTTTCAGCCATTGTCTCTAGGCCGTTGTCTATGCTTTACTTTGTTGAAGAGTCTGGCTCCATCCATTACGCAGTGGAAACTACAACCAGATCCCTCATAGTCTTCTCTTCTTCTCCAGGCTGAACAAACACAGCTTCCGCAGCAGCCTATGCTCTTATATGAACACACCCTGCTAGCTCTTGTCAAGTCTGTATTCACTGTTTTAGAGTTACAGCACCAATTCATTAACACCCTGCTTGCTATTCATCATCTTTGCATTTTCCTGTCCTTCACCCTTGACTGACCCAATTGAGCTGAAGACGATGGCGATGATAATGAAGCTTTTCAAAAGGAGGCAGCAAGAATGCTCACACTGAAAGATTTATGTTAAGCATTCAGCCTTACAGATGCATCAGTGGAGTCTGACAGACAGAAAAGCAGTTTTGTTCATAAAAATTAACATAATGGGGGAGAAGGAAATCCAGGACTTAACAGGCAAACACAAATACACACGGAGAGTATATAGGGGGTGGTGGAGACAAGGATCATCAGCTGGAGGAGATGCTGGATTTTCAGAGACTGAGATGCACCTTATGTTAATTCTTATGAACAAAATGTTTTGCTATCTGTCAAACTGTTAATCATTGCACCTTTCAGGAATGTATTTTCAAGTGGGAAAATGTGTGTCTATAGGTCACCTGCCTCTCCTAACTGGGAAGACTGGGGCTCTGTCTTCTGCATACCCCTCCCACCTTTAGGTAGCGAAGGACTGCAGTTACATACCCCCTTTTCACCTTCTCTAGGTGGAAATCCTCAGCCTCTCCCAATCAATGCGCCATGTGCTCCAGCCACCTAATCACAATGCTTAATTCCTACCCCTCTTTTCATTTTCAACCAAATTTGAGGGAGGAAAAGGCATCTTAAAACATTAAGTTCCTATAGATTTAATGACAATACGCAGCCCAATAGCGTCTCTCCTCTTCTTTAACCCTCTAACTGATAAAAGGCTGCAGATTGGCCTATTTCATTAGATACCAAAAAAGCCAAACAAGGAAAAGGCTGTATCAATATACCAGCAATGAGAAAGGCTTAACAAAAAGGTTACAACCAACTATAAAACTCAACTCAGCAGAATCCAGCTAACAGAACTGCTTAATTATATTAATATACCGTAATAGGGTAGGTAATACGTGGCTCATGAACATTTCATCCATAGCACTGTAAGACCACAGAGGTCTTCTACCGTAGATACTTTACTGTGGCTAAACAGAATGTGAAAGTTCATTTTAGATCAGCTGCACATGGAACAAAGAAACGTAGCTGCCTGGGCAGCAAGGACCCTTACGCAGGCTTTACAATCTAAAATGCCTTACAAAAACACGCCTCCTTTAACTTAAAAGAAAAGTAACAAAACGTTAACGCAACGTTAGTGGTCCAGCCTTACGTTACGGCTCTCAAGCAGTTAGGCTCCCAAGATTACCGCAAGGCGAACTCAGCAGACCGCCTGCATGACCAGGACCGCACCCAGCAGCAAAGCAGGGCTTTGACACCTCTGCCAAGACGCAGCGTTCTCATTACCGACGCCCTCTTCCCCTCGCGAAGGCAGCGCGAGGGCTGCTCCCTCCTCTTCCAAAGCCGCGCCGTGGCGAACGCGCCCGCCCCCGTCCCTCCCTCCCGCCCCCTCCGAGCTTCTCCCGCGGCCGTCCGGGGATTCCAGCTTCGCTTCCGCGGAGCGTCCCGCAGGGGAAGGCCGAGAGCGGGACGCC